GTTGGCTACTAATTTGACAGTTTAAAATTTTCCTCCAACTTGTTCATGTTGAAATTAGCCAACGTAGGTGAGAGCAGTGCGTCCATAGGCAAAGCAAATATTTTTCACAGATGCTGCCGTTGAACGTGAAGTAGGTAGTTTCTATGGTTGGGTTGATTAATCCTTTCGGATTCTCTCCTTATCCGGGATGACATCTTCCCTTTGCAAAATCTCCAGTAGTGCCGTCAGTACTTCTTCACCTCAGATGCCGGTGTACACGGACTGCACATCAAAGCTCACCAATAGTTCGCTTTCCTCCAAACCGGTGCCTTTGAATCTTTAGCAGAATTCATATAATTTCTTTACTGTATTCGATAATCTGTTATTTCCATTCTTTACCTAAGGGTAGATAGATTAAGCCAGTTTCTGTGTTTATCCGTGTTTTAGTTTACTATCAGTCTCAATGGTTCCCCTTCTTTGAGTACCTTTGGTAAAGCGTATGCTGCTGGGGCTATTACATCCATTCGTATAAATGAGTTCATCGACCATTTGTCAATTTTTCCGTTCGCATTCATATCCTTCAGCATTTTTAGCAATTTCCTCCTGATTTTAGTTGTTAGGTCTTTTGTTAGCATTCGATAAGTTGTAGTGTACCCGAGAATATCTTTCATTCTCCCCGTATATTTCTTCCTGTCCATCACTACTTTAGCACTCCCATTTGGGAATAAAGAGTTTCTTTTCAATTCTCCATATATCTTGGCTATGTTGTTTTCTTCCGTCGGTTCTTAATACGCCTAACGTTTTGGGATAATTTCGATTTCCAGCTCTCTTTTTCATTCTTCTGGTAGCTTCTCAGATGCATTTGCCACTTGCACTTTATTGTTTTCCCTTCATTCCAAGGTGCATAATTTAGCCCTTTCTTGAGGATCGCCGTAGTTTTGAGGTCAAGAGGGACGGAACACAGATTCACTCCTTTAACTTCCTCTCCTGTCTGGATTGTGAGATTCGTCATCCCAAAGGCATCTTCGTTTTTCCGAGTGGTTGAGCCTTGGGCTGTCTATAGATCCCATATTTATTCGGTTTATTCTGGTGCCTTTTTTCAATCAAGTTAAAGATCCTTTTTTGCATTTTGTCCTTCATCTTCTGTAGTTAAAGGGGATCCTCCTGGGTGAGAATCCGACTAAACTCATGCCCGAATCTAGACTTACTATCTAAAAACCCAAATATTTTCCTCTTTACTTAGCATGTCTTTAATATTCTGCAGATGCTTGGCATAATATAGTATTGACCTTGTCGGAAGGATATTTTCTCTTCAATTTGCAAAAACTAGGACTGATATACCGTCTAAAACGGTTGCGAAGTGTCAAAATGACTTACGATTGTTTTCTTTGATTTGCTATAATCAGTGCATTGACTGGCAATCTTACCACCGTAATTAGATCGTAAATATGAAGACCAAAATTATGTGGCCAATGATGATGAAGACCAAAATCGAAGTCTCCTTTAGTCTAGAATTTTTTTTTTAAATCTCGTTTTCACGACTTGGTCGTGATTTTCACTTTCTGACCATTGACTTTGTACATTCCTATTATCATAGACTGATTTCTTCTGAGTCATGAAATAAAACCCATTTTCACGGAAAATAACCTGTTCGACTGAAGTCTTTTAAACTCGTTGCATGACTTGTTTATCCCTTAGACTTTAGACGCACGCTATTTCCGGCCCGGAATGCTACTTATCTACAAGACGGGCATCGGATCGCTTTGGCATCCTGCTGTAATTGACTCTATTGAAGATGGTTACCTTCATCTACAGGATCTCTACAGTGTACGACAACTTTCAAAACCAAATGATGGTATACCAGAGAGTATTCGGTTTTTGCCTGACTCGACCGACATCTGCCCAATTGGACTTTATCCAGCATACATTAATGTCACCCTGGGAAATGTCGGGTTACGAGGCAAGCTAACAAAAAATGCATTTTAGTACTATTTTTCCGGATTCTAACCACAATTTATACATCTTTCGCTTGCGAAATTAGTGATTATGTTTGTTCCTTTCTTTGGAAAAAAATATTAAATACTATTGTTGGCATTTTTAGAAAAAAATTTTATTTTGCTATCCATCGCTCAATAGCCATAAGAGCTAATTCATTGTTGAAATACGAAAAAAATTTGAGCAGACATTTATAGCTTGTTAAATTAATAAGTTCTTGCCTTCAGCCGCTAATCTCTCGGAAACATAATTATTTTTATAAACGAAGAGTAACTATAATTAGATCATGGCTATGAAGACCAAGATGGTGTGGCCTTCTCTTTAGTTGCAGTCTCCTTTAGCTTTATAGTGTTGGTTTAACTTCATTCTTACAACTTGATCTAAGCACGAGACCTTGTGGAACGTATCTAGTCCTGTGTCCTCTGCCATAGTATTCATAGTTTCAAGCATCGTATCATTAACTTGGTACAATCTCAAATATTTCGCCGGCCTCATCAGTGAGAGGTACCAATCTTTAGCACAGTTTTACAACTTATTAAAGTGACAAATTAAGACAAATTTTATGTTCAACCGTTGTGGCATCACTCCTCGTCCCCACTAAAAAATAAATTTGTCTGGATGAATCTTCTGAGATAACATTATTGCGAATACTTTGATTTTGTACGCAAGTACTGGACGAAGCGATTCGTAGACCGATCTCACCCGATGGTGACTGCTAATAATCTATGCCATGAATTCGTTTGGCTTTTATTATGGCCTTAAGGTTACCACTACCCACTAGACATTCTTCCCTGTATCTGATGAAAACAGGCTGAGCTTACATCCGCCATATTGTAGACCTTACCAAGCCTGGAACTCATTCACACTATCACTAATTCAAGGAGGCTATTGGTGTTTAACTTACAAGATTTATATATTCCAAACTAAACAGGAGAATATGTAGATCCAGGAAGATTGATATAAAATGATTTGCTTTTTTAAATGCTAAATTCCTGTTCTACTTTTCGTGCTAGATACTTATATGCTTTTTTGTGTGAATTTGTTTCTATCTTTACGAGTGTAAGTCAGAGTACGAAAGACCAGTGTTATTTAATTAGTGTTCACTTGAAGTTATACAGCGGGAATCAACCAACATCCTCTGTTGAGATTGACCTACGAATATATTTTTCAGTCACTTTTATATTAATTGAGCGACTTAAAGACAAAGTAATAATCTAATAAATCTTACTTTAGGCCGAGTCGTACCTCGCTATTACAAAGAATGGTCATGGGTATATGAAAGTTTGTGGAGAACAAATTTGGAATAACGGATTATACTAATAGGCAAACTCTGAAGGCATACTCATTAATTAAAAGGGCTGGATACATCGAGGCAAGCTACTTTAAAATACATGAGAAATAAAGTATATTAAAGTGGCTCCGGCACGAATACATAACCAGAGATAGCAACTTA